ACAAATAAAACACAAAAGAAAATCACTAAAGTAAATCATTAGTATTTCAGATCAGCCAAATCCATATGTATAAGAATAACACAATTCAAATTTTATACAGGAACAAGTGAAAACTAGAGTAGGCAATCTGATACAATAATCGTTGCATGTGTTTATTTTTACTATTTCATAACTGGTAGCAGAACCTACAGAGATTGATGTGAAATAATTAGCGATGTAGAACAATGCAAAGTAATAGTGACACGCAAACAGTTTCACTCAACTCTCATTCCTTTTAGCCTGTTTTAGGACACATGTAAGGCATGTTGGTTTCTAATTACATAATGATACGATAGATATATTATATGAGAAATAGGAATATTTTTTTAAGGATGACATAATGACTTCATAAAATATTGCATAGTTCTGATATTGATCTTTATGTATCCTATAGATAGCATTTTTGTTCAGACTTACTGAGAAATGGGAACATGCCTAAAGCATTAGTGTTAATACTGAACAGTAACTATATCTCACCCGGCAACCCAAATTATCGACAGTGAAGTTTAAGTAATTTTGTTTGTATAATTTTATTACGGTATTAACTTTCATTTGTCATTTAAAATCTTTGGAGCCTCAAGGAGGTTTTCAGGTGTTATGTGATATGAGGAAATAACCCAGAAGTGTACACCTTCCGTTGCTTAGGTCAAAGGTGAGCAAAACCTTTGGCAAATGTGGTGAAATCCAAATGAATTCAATAAGTAGATGTCATAATTTATTATTCAGAGCAACTCGAATATAGCTGATTCGAATCCTTTCGTAAAGGAGTTTTACATTACAGTTTTGTTCAGATTATTAACATATGACGGTTCACAAATTCAGAAAATTTTAAACGGTCTCACCTACAACGCAATAACTAGATTTTATTCCTGAAAATTTGATTTCTGCTGAAGTTGTTTTCAGAAGTTAAGACATAGCCATGCTTATTTGTTAATCTGCGTCAGTGGTTCAGGGGCAGAATACTTGCCAGCAACCCACGTGGTCTAAGGTTTGATCCCCGGATGATGCATTCCTATATCTGGCTTAGCTGGTAGTAAGCTCCGTGAATAATTAGGAGGGTGATGTTAGCAACCCCACTCCGTCGAAAAATAACACCTCTGCTACTGAAACTTCAAAATTTGAAGAACTATGTTCCATTTGGAATGTAGATGATTAAAATAAATAATAAAAATTTTATTAATCTAACAGGGGCCCTCAAGTCTTACTCCCATTACTGGTCTACCAAAGCAGAGCCAAGTATGGCCCACCAGCATCTACTTAGGGATTGTCCAGTGGGATTAGTAAAAGGACTGATAAGGTCACTCAGGAGTAACATATTAGCTGATACAGAGCACAAGATTGATAGAAATTCAGACTTAACCATTCTGTACAAGGTGCCACCACAGTTTTCTAGGTTTGTATGCCTTTGGTTGCTAAGTATCGTTCAGACATCTGTCATAAGAAATTGTCGACCCAGATTTTGTGTTCAGAGAAAGTTTGTCTAGTTCGTATCCCTTCCATGACCCTCATACTGTCCCAGAATAGTTTTCTTTATGGTTAACTTTAAATATAATCCTTATTTTATTTTTACTTCTATCTTTATTTCCATTATTTCACTGTGTAATAACCACATATTTTAGTGTCATTTCCACAGTCAGTTATAAAAGTGGACTCTGTCATCCTGTCACCTTTCCATTCTACTCCTACAGACATACGCACTCTACTTAAACAATCACAGTGACTAATTACACATATTATATAAACACTTACAAGAACTGTTCCCGATTATTACCATGACCGAACTGATTATTATCCACGAATTCACACAGCTGAACTTTATTTAATCCTACTAAACACATTGGTAGCACGTGTTCATAGTTGGCAATGTGATTATGTAATTGTAGACCCTGATTACCGAAAACTCGTCCAGGCTTAAGTGTTATTCTGACCGTTATTATTATTTTCACTTGATTAATTTCCAGCATTATTTCACTTGTCACCTTTTATTTATACTAGCAGATTTTCGCAATGTTGTCTTATGATGATTCCCATCTTGTTGAGTTATGTTTTAATTGCCTACGAGTCTTATTAATTCTACAGCCCATTCTAAGATTTATTCCATGAACCATTTTGCTACTTGACGTCTAGCTATGATTATGATCGCAAATATTTTGTCGCAATTCACATTATTATTTTTAAAAAATTCTACCTACACAATTGTACAGTTTAAAAACAAAGTTGTGAAAAATTCTTTTCTCTGAAACACTTGTTTTAATTTTCTGTATGTTCCAATGGGAATTCCCCATAAAACAAATTGTGTCCCTTAACTGCCATTATGGAAATATTTAGATGTTATACAGCCAAATTAAGAATTACACTGACTGGTATATAGAATCAACTGATTCCTGTGCCTACTCGAATACTGATCGCAGGTGCATTCCCATTGGTAAACCGGTGCGATATGCTAACCAAAATCCCACATTTTTCCTTTCGTGTTTCCAGTGGAGCACGGAGCTTTGAAGTTTCATGAGCAACGTTGATTTTTACCAGGTGGTTTTGCTAGCTTCATGCCCAACTTTCCTACTTTTCTGGGCTTGCTCTCACTGAGGGGAGGCTTAGAAATGCAACAGCCGGAAACTGAACCCAGCTCAAGACAGCCAACTAGATTTTAATAGTAACAAGAGATATTTCATTGTCGCGTAATTCACTTTAAATTATTTAAAGAGATATTAGGCTCATAACAGTTCAGATGACATCTGTTCTCCTCAATGATTAACACAGTAAACAGAAATCTGACATCGTATTCATTGGTGAGAAATCAGTAGCTGTCACATGAACTTTTGCCTTACAGCTGTCTAATGATATGCCGCATGTTAAATACTCGGTAGTTAAACAGTCTGTGACATTTCTGTAGGAAAATACAGCTTATCTACGTATTGGCATATAGCTGTTTTGTGTTTCGATGTCCGTTCAGTGTGATAATGTGTGGATGACACAAAACTCTAAGAGAACCTGTTGATTGACTGAACTATAAAACAATCAACCGGTGTGGTAGACAACTTAACTAGTTCCAATTAACTTTTGCTGAAAAGTAAATCACAAAAGCTGCGCTACAATTACATGACAATTCATTTATGACTATCTCATTACGAGTGGAACACCTCCAAGTAATTTGATGATTTTTGATGTCTTATAGCCAGATATTCAACTTCTTCTTCTAATTCTGCCAACTACTATTTAGTCAAAACTACACTATACAGTATTTACCAGAATTTCAGATCAATATATGTACCAGTTAACTGTCTACCTGTTTAGCTTTACATCAATTATTACGAATAAATAAAACCTTATACTCAAGTAAAACAATGGTGATGATGATGATACAGACAATAGCAAGCGTACAAATGCTGACCTGAAAGCCTGAAATTATACATATACATACCTGTACCCTCAATAATATATATACTTACTACTGAGTATCATAGTAAGTACGCAGCACTTGTCTACTTATTTTCAAATAATGCTCCAGAAGTTTTGCTCAATAGTTATAAGAGTTAAGAGAACGGCAAAAGCAGTGCACAACGGTTGTTTAAGTATATACACATGTATTGAGCTGATTGTTACCCTCTCCCTCATTGAACGAAGAAACAATACATTTCTTCTACAAATATGAATGCATGTATATTCATACAAATTTAAACAAGCTTAAACAAGAAAATGATGACACGATAAGCTGAATGTTTTTCAAACCAGTGTATTTATATTTACGTAAAGCTAACTTAAAGGTTTGTTGATGCTTTTTGTATTCATAATAAAAAACAGTTACGAAACAAAATTTAGATAAAACTTATTTCATGCATTAGTACAATTAGCATATAACTTTTTGTGTTACAATTTATTTGGATAAACAAGTGAGTCAACTTGAAATGGTGTGAAGGACATGTCTTCACTTTCTTCGATCAATAAATGAAATCATTTGTTATCACAGTTATCTTTAATTATTATTTACTAGGTATAGCTTTGATGGTGCGTCGGTGGCATAGCGGTTAGGACGCTAGCGGACTATGCACATGGTCTGGGGACCGATACCTGGCCGACGCACTTTCTTACCTTGCTCAGCCAGAAATAATGCGAGTGAAGAGGAAAGGTTGGGCATGAAGCTAGCAACCCCATCCTATAAAATAAACACTGCTACAGAAACTTCAAGCCACAAACTTGAAGCCCTATGTTCCACTGGGGAACGTGAAGGGAAAAAAAAGCTTTGATAATTCATAACAGTTCTCAAGTAGGAAAGCCCTAAGGTTACATAATGGTTTGAATAATGGTTACGCTAAGCTAACCCACCATTTTGCTAGTAGCTAGCCGGTTTCCAAAACATATATATATCAGACTTATCGTCCTAAAAGGCATATCAGTGATAAATTTTAAAGATGAATTTGAGCTTCTCTAACAAATTCCATTTCATGTAACAACACCGTAATTTCACATACAACTGTTTGAATTCACATATTAGTAACACACATTCTCTTGATACCTATTTGGCAGCTAGATATTTTTACTACATCTCTCAATCAATAGAGTGGGTTACTACCTCTTTAGTTGCAACTGAGTATGGCAGTGTTTCAAAATCTGTTGGCGTGAATGCTGTGTGTTTTTCTTAGATTTGTTATTTCGCAGTTCTAGTTATCTTTTAGTTGACACTGGAGTAGGAAATTTTGACATCATACTGAACCAACACAGGATCTCTCGTTCTCGTCATAAACTGAGACGGTTAGCAGTGTACATCAGTTTGCTGCAGATATCTCAGAAACAGAGTACTATCTAACTTTCTCGTTGTTTTAGTCAACAGTTACTTGCCATTATCTTCAAATACTTCTGGTCTTATGTCCCGCGTGGTCTGGCAATTAGGATTCCTGGCTTTCGGTAATACTGAGAAATACATACAATTCAAAATAACAATGATAAAATCAGATCTAGCTTACTTCTTATAGACGAGCTGACACTGAAGATTGATGCTGTATCCGAACCGTTTTCATTACTTTGTGACATCCAAGCTAGATCCAAAGTCGGTCGATAAGTACTGTGTCGGTCAGTCACGTGGCTCATTTTTAAAGAATCGCCGGAAGAATGACATGCTGCTGGTGTAGATGAACGCCCTTCACGTCGACCTTGGGTCGTTCTAATGGTGGAAGCATGGTTTGGATGCATAGGATCTTCTGTATGAGGGAGCCTTTTATTTACACTATTTGCTTGTCTGTTGAGATTAAACACAGATCCACTTTGCGCTAAGTGATGGTTTCGACCGTGAACAGTTGCCATATTGTCTGCATTTGATAAGAAAAAATATGTTTTATTTTGAGTAAACCAAAGTAGCAGTTAAATTAGGGTTTCACTACACAAATACACCTATCTAGACATGAAGGTAAGAAAAATGTAGTTCAATGAAGAGATTCTTTCAGTGACATTATATATATGCACATTCATTTTGTTATAGTCTTAATCATGAGCTGACATCAGTTAGGGAACCAGTTGGAGACCAAGGGAGTACGTGACAGCTGTTTCGCCCTAGTTTTGGACTCTTCAGGAATAAGAACCTAGGAACTTCCCGTTACAAGGCGAACTCGTAGACCATTCAGCCATTTGGACTCATTGCAACGTATTACTGTCAATAGAATAAAGGGATAAAAAGTAGTAGAAATATATAAATGAAGTTTGAGAGTTATTTGAGTGCCTTGATATGGACATTAGCAATAAATTCTGCATGAAACATTATCAGTAAATAATACTGTGTCACTGAGCTTTTATCAAATAAATTTATTCTGTCATGGAATTATACTTTACCAAAGTGTCCAACTTCTAGTCTTAGTTACATTGTGACCACTCTTTACTATCCCAAAATATTTTGATAATGTAAACCATATATTACAGTGTTTTTTGGTTTGCGTGACTAACTGAATTTATACACACAAAAACAAAAGTATACAGTTTCGGTTGTATGGCTAGCTGAAAGAAATCGCCCAACTATTTATTTGATTTAAATTATTTTAAAATCATAATTAAAAATGAATATCCCACGACATATTGTCAACTCCCACAGCTTTTTTTAAACAAGTAAACTAGCAGCCAGTATACCTTAATAACGCTATAGATGCACCAAAAATATTGTCATTTCCTGATCACGTGCCTCCTTGGTGTTGTAAGTTTGCTGACATGCAGATTTAGTGAGAAATGCAGATAGTTACTAATTTGCCAATGCGTTTAAGAAGATTTCTGATTTACTGGTAGTAAGTTTTATACTACTCTAGCATTCTGTAAAAAGACCTGTATTTTAAATCACGTAAAATACCGACACTTTAGCGAAGAAGATGTTCTTTATCGATGATGTTATCTTCAGAGGATGCACAGTTGTGTTTATATTTAATAAGATCGTATGAAAGCCTATTATTGAATGATAGGAGTGTGTGACATAATTGATACAGTCTCTGAGATGTGATTTCTATGGGTGAAAAGAAGTTAAACAGTAATAATCAACGATACAGAAATAAGAGTTTGAAAAGGTGAACATTGTTGCTAATAAGAAGCAAGGTGATTCAATGCCCATTTGACTAGCCTGAAGAAGGTGGGAAACTACTAAAATACACAAAATAAACAAGTAATATCGTATTACTTAGTAAAAAATAAATAGATAGAAATGAGTGTAGTACTGACAGGATAATAGTCATGATATAATAAAAATAGTAATAGACTGCTATATGTGTTTATTAAATATAAATACTATCGTGTGTCGGTGGCACAGTGGTTAGGACGCTCGCCGACCATGCACATGATCCACGGTTCGGTCCCCTGCCGACGCACACCTGATATCAATGGTCGGCTTGCAAAATTTAGGCTACCAATACCACATGCTGAAAATTCCATACTTGTACCAAAAATACTGTGTGGAATCAAGCTATAATCAAAATAAAAAATATCAAATAAAAAATATGACTTCTTCAAAAATGAAAATTTTCTTCGCTGATTTGTTATTAATTTTCTCCAAGGTTTGTGTTTTGTAAGATATCAGATAATTAGATGTCACTATGCTGTGAACCGTGAAGACCACTAGATCTGTGTAATAATCATGCATTACTTTACGAAGTACGTTATGCAAATCATGAACAAATAATGATTCATCAGTATTCAGCTTGATTAATTTTCTGTAACAATCATCCAACATTCGAATGAGAGTGAAAAAGGGACACACTTTTCTGTTAAGAAATCAACAATGCGTGAGTCACTTTGTTTGCCCACATCACCAAGGAAAATCCGTAATTTTTTTCATGACCCATTAGAGGGTCATATTAAAAGATAAACATTCCATTCATTCGACGGCATATCTAAAGACTGAAATGGTGTAAATAATTGATATATAACTCAACGTTCAGTTTGACGGAATATTTATAAATAATTCGTTGGAATTATTCATGAGGTGAAAAATAGGTTACATATGTATGACCAGGTAAATGTCTGTACTAGGAAGAACTGATATGCATTGTATTTAACCAATTGTTTGCGAATTAGTTAGAGGGAGAATCTGTCTGGCTTGTGGTCCATTGTACAGAGAAGTGTACAATATGAAAAAAACTATCGAGTATTAGCTAGTAAACTTGTTATGTAATGCAGCAGGAGTTAGCTATAGTGAAGCCTATGTAGTCTCATCTCCTGTCATACTTAGACTGACTTCTTTGTCCCACCTTCAACCGGTTGTGCCTTCCCACATTGTCCTTCTTTAGTATCATTTTTTTGTACTTGGTTAAGAAATCTTCAATCAAAGCATTTTAGAATTTAATACCTCCTCCATTTTCTTTCATGGATGGAAATATGCATCTCTGAAACATGCCTTTGAGATTTTTGCATGGAGAAATATTCTCAGTCGAATGATGAATAACAAGAGACTGATATATAATCTGGTAAAAAGGGACCTAAAGGTTGGTTCCCACCTCTTAAATGAACGTTTCTAAAATTACAAGTGCACTGTAGAAATATTATTACCTTTATTATCATTGAATTCCATGGAGTCTGATATTACAGAGTTCAAGTGGTAACCGCTAATACTGTTACTCATCCAGGTATTGTTTCTATTTGTACAATTTCCTTTCAACGTATCACAGTGATCTTGATCATAGGTTGTCAGATTGTTTAATTCAACAACACCATTATGACCTTGTTTGTGGTTCGAGATGTCATTTAATCTTCCCATGCTGGCGCATCTTTGATGCGACCTTACTCTTGAAAATGATCGTCGGCGTTGGTTACGTTTTGGATACTCGCGAATGGGAACTAAAATAAATTTTAGGATAGACAGATACTTTCGTAAAATGTTTAGAAAACACAAATCATATAAATCTAAAAGTGTAAGTGTAAGCTCTTTAACTAACATTCTCTTATGCTTTAAATTTGATAAATTATTTTTGGAAAACGGGTAACTTATTTTATTCAGGTTTTACACCACCCCTTTAGTCAACATTTCTATCCTCCTAGTGCAGGAACATATCCCTTATTTCTTTGAAGAAACTTTTTCCTTATGAAAAATGGCAGTTTTGAAGACGAAGTAATACACTTTTAATTTTTATAGGCCTTATTTAACAAGATCACAGTTTAACACAGTTAAATTTATGAGGCTGGTTGAGATATTGTATTTTATGGTATATATATATATGCATTATAAGCAGAGGTTTAATACAGTTGCATCGAAGCCCACTGATGCTTTTTAATGTGCAAAAGAAAATTGTTAGTATATAAAATTTTGTTAAGAAATTCATGCTCAGAACAAACTAGTGTCTAGTAGGGCAGACCCAGCATAAAAAGGTGATAAGACAATTTTTCTAGTTTGTTATCCAATTTACTTACGTTTAATTGTTAGGTTAGCAGAAAAATACTAAATCTCTATATTGTTTATTTCTAATAAATTAATTATGGTGTGATTTTAGTAGGTTACTAGAAATGCGAATTTTGCGCATATGTATAAGTAATTCATTGGTGCTACTGTTCGCTGATTGCATATGTTTGTTTCACTGACCAACAAAAAGTTAAAGTCAATTCATTAAGAGAAGGAAAAATCACTTTGGTTTCACTCCTGATATATTTTGCAAACTAAGTGTTAGCTATATTTATACGAAATTTGAATTATCCTGTTCCATTTACATGTTTGTTTATTTTTTCTTCATACTTGTTTACAGAACTTTAAACAGTCCGCATATTTTGCTGGTAGAGATTTCTCCTACATGATTTCAGTAAATGTGTACTACCCTGATCTGTTTAAAAGCAAGTGTATATAATACAGCTAAGCTAAGCAAAGTTAAGACTGATAATCATCCAGCTGCTGGTCACCAGTAACATGAATTTGCAGAGTGTTTAAAGTGGATAGAATGATTTCTTCGAAAAACTAAAACTGTATTGTTGCCAGAAATCAATAAACAACTAGGTTAGTGCATTATATTGTGTGTTTCCCTTAAAGACAGTGTTGAGATATGATTCTTTTGATTCCTAATTATTTTGGGCCCCACAACACGTTCTCAATAATAATTCTGCTATTATTATCGGTCTGCAAAGAATCCAAATATATATATATATATGTATAATCAAGTTTTATCTTGTCTTCAGAATTTATAAACACTCATAGATGTAAAAAAAACCAAGTGCCAAATAATCTTTTTTTATTTCTCAGATTTATTTTCAGTAATAACTACTATACCTTTAATGCAAGTGTATGTCTGAAGCTGAAGAAGACGATAATGATTTTACTTATAAACAAAAGTGAACTTTGACATATGCTAGCGTTAGTAGCATGTTCAAACATGTTGTATGCGTGTCAGTTACAAGCACTAAAAGACAAAAGACTAGCAGTGCTTATCAAAACAAGTAAGTAACACATCTGCTCACGTTAAAAGGCTGTCTTGCATCATATTAAGTCAAAAAGTTTTAAATTTTATATCCTCATCATTCAAGCTGGCTAAACAGTCTTAGCCAAAATAAACTTTTGCATAATCTTAGATGTCGTCAGAGCAAGGCACCAGAAAGAAAGGAACTCTTTTCCTGCGTTAATTTTATTTTCGAAATCATGACAGTACATAGGTAACAAAAGTAGTAGAGTAATTTTTCCAGTGCACAGAGTTGACTGCCTTCCACTCTGTTCCAGAAAACGATGTTTACATTCAATCATTTTACAGATGGGAAATCATTAGCATAATTTTTAGGCAAAGACTGAAATCTGTCATAACCAAAACATACAATTTAGCTCCATGTGTCACTGTCAAAAATGCCGAACACATATTTCGCCCCACACTTTAACATTATAATAGTGATCACACCACATTCTACATTGCGTACTAATTTACATTGACGTATAAAACTGAGTTATCTGGAACAGACGTCTCATGTACTAAGTTAAGTCCCCACGTTTTATGCGAAGACCGATTATACTTCCCAGTAGCCCAGGCTAAAACAGGTTAGGCGGGGTTCGAACCCGGGACTGTTGACTGGCATTTGATTACTTAGGCCAATAATTTATATCTTCATACGTTCTTCTATGGACTAATATAAATATAGGGGAGTTGGTTGCAGTGATTAAAAACAACTTGACTCCTAGATTTTCAATAGCATAGATGGTAAACTTACATTTTCATCCATAGTATGTATGTAAATAAAATAACCGATGTTACAATGGCTTTCCCAATTTTATACGCAAGCCACCAGCAGGTCATCGGGAAATATGCTGAGAGAATAGTTATTCATAAAATTAAGCCAGCTTTTTGCATAAAGAAACAATCTATTAATAAACTTAAGCAGTCGTGGTAACTCTTACTTGATAATAACATCGGAAGCGGTATCGGCGAAAAGATATCTTTGCTAAACTTCCTGTTCTGTTCCCTATAATGTTTCGATGGGTATTTTCCACGATTTGAATAAATCAGAACATCTATATTTTCCCAACCACTTAAGTTTATAAACTGTAGATTTTTAAATCTCATAATCGATGTGACTGACTTGTCAGCAAGATACAGTCACATTGATCTAAAGTATGCAAATAACTCTGACGGAAGAAACAGTCTTTCGAATACCTTAAACAGAAGTCTTTCATTTTTGAGGCACTTTGCCCCTGTCAGGTGTAAGATGATGCTGCAGTCCTGTTTCACACAGACTCCTGATATAAAGATAATAAGTAAAATGATTGAGAATACCGAACACTTCACTCATTTACGAAGTTGCATCGGCCTTATTAGGCTGTCTGCTGATGATTAACCGTAGTCTGTTTGAACTGTGCAGTATTCCGTCTTGTTTCCCTTTATTGCTATCACATGTACCTTATGCAAGTAAAGGACTGAAATTTTTTTGTTTTTAACCATAAATGTGTGTAACATGATCATTAATGACGCAGCCATGCATTAAGTGTTATGGAAAATCAAACGGTGAAGTTAAGAATTCACATCAGCTGTTATGGCAAATGCATGAATTAAAACTGAATTCTCATCATTATTCACATAACTATTCTCTCTCCCGAACAATCCCGTTTGTTGTGATCTCATTGCGTTTATATACTTCTATGTGTGCTTTTATGAAGTGGGACAGATTGGACTGCTAGAGGTTTATGTAATGTTTTACACCGATAATTCAGTTAATTTCAGTTAATTACTAATATTATTGGATTTCAGAGTTTCATTTCTTTTCTGCAATGATGATTATTTTTGTATGTAATGTGTCTTACACCTGTGGTGAGATTCACGTTTATATTTGTAACAATACAATTGATACCTGGGTCGCTATGAATCTTAATTTACCTAGAAACCATATCATTTTTAACACAAACTCCAAGATATTGACCGAATTTACCAAATAATAAGCATCAATGAGTTAAATAATAGAAAATCTCCAAAACACCTAGTTCAGACAGATATTTCTCAATTGAGAACACATGTTCAGTTTTGAAGTTTTTCTCATGAAAGTTTTGGAAGTGTAGCTTACACGAATGTTACACGAAGCAACATGAAACATACCAAGACATCAAAGGTGGAGATGAAGAACTCTAACCAGTCTTTTATCAGGTGATTAAAATGCATTTCTTTATTTAGTCTTTCGATATATAGGTTGGAAAAGTTCTTATAATTCATACACACATTTACTCACCAACATCTTGATCATTGAAATTCTTTATAAGATCAGCTATTTCTGTATTACCAGATATCATAGCTTGTTCATAGGCTGTATGGCCGTTAAAGTTCCTGATAGCTTTATCAGCACCTCGAAACAGCAGCATACGAGCACATGACTCTTGTCCAGTGTACGCACATATATGAAGTGGAGTGTTACCATTTTTCGAAGTTTGAACGTTAATGTCAGCTCCGTAGGCAAGTAATATTTCCAAATGTTGCACACGACCAAATCGACAGGCCTATTTGAGAAAAGACAATATCATAAGATATAAAACTGTTTTAATAATCCATTATTACAGCTACATGAAATATTCAAAAACCAGCCAAAAACCTACTTCACATTTATACTGAAAGAGATTAGTATGAGAAATAAATGTTTTGTCAATTGAATTAAATCAGTTATCTAGGATGCATGGATTTTGACTATAATGCATAAATCACAGTATGACATATATCACCTTTTGTTCTTAAAAACTTTTTTTTCAGTTAAGGTAAGTAAACTTTAGGTGAAATAAGCTAATTATGACCTGAAATGACATTTTCCGACACGAAAAAATAGTACCAAACTTTTACCACCACTTCTTTGTTCAGTCACAAAATCCCAGTAAGGGAAATTAATCGGTCTGAAAGTTGCTGTGGAAAATGCAGCATTCTTCTCATTTTGGGAAGCACAGCGATACATACAGGTAAATAATTTGTTACAAAATGCTTGTCAAACATCAAACGCTGAGTGCAACTGAGCTACTGCTTACACAAAGGAAATTTCCATTAAATCCTGATTCCATTTTCTAGGTAAATTGGTATTTTATTAAATAGTTTTGCAGTAATAGTGTTACTTTGCATTCATAAGCTCTTGAAAGATATAGTTCCTCAGTTCGTGTTGTATTTTTTCTTAACTCTTATTAGGCTCAAAACATCATGACTGATAGCATCTAAAAATACTTTGCAGTTCTCCAAATGTCATGCATGTTTATCATTAATTAATCATTATTGACACATAAGTGACAACTATAAGACAGTGAGGTACTGATTTACATGATGGTTTCGACATTACTGAAGTAAAAATTGGGTAGTGACTGGAAGATTATCATTATTTTTCTCTTGAGTTCCGAGTGGAACAAAGGGCTTCAACAACACAGTGTCCAATTTTTATCCTTCTATCAATAATTCATCTCCACTTTGCTCTATTTTCTGTTGTCTTCTTCAACTGAACCCACGATTGTCCACAATCTCATCTCTTTCTCCTCAAACGATCGCCTCCATGTCACCCTCACACCGATGACCCATTAGTCATTCCCCATTCGGGTTCCACTGGAGAGATGACCTGCATTACGCGCGATGTCATTCCACGGTCTCCTCAGTGTGTGCCCAATCCATCTCAATTTACTCCTAAACATTTGTTGAGCAATTGGCTCTCAGTCGGTCTGTTTCCATAGTTTCATGTTGCAAATTCTTTCTAGCCGGCCGACCCTTCAATCTTCAATATGGAGCCAGTGAAGTCAGCTGTTGATAAAAGTCTGCAGTAAGCTCTTGGAACAGCTGTTCGTAAGACCAACCCCCAGTTTCTCACCCATATACAAGTAGTGACCAACTGACTCGACATTGGTGTTCAAAATCCGAATTGTGTTGTTGTTCTGTATGCTGAGGTGGAGTGCAGAAGATTTTCAAACCGATTTCAGATTGATGCAGGTGTATCTCACCTTTCCGATTCTGGCTGGCTGTCTTTGATATCTTCACCTGTGCCATGTGCTTGTAGTTGAAACGATGATTCCTAGATAAGTGAAGGTAGGAAGTCACCTCTGCGAAATCTCTCCCCTTGATGGTGATTGGTGCCAGTTGTTGATGCTGCTGTGGTGCTATTGGTGGTGACGGTGTTTGGTTATCTTCATCACCCCCGTCTAATCCATGTTCACCTGCAGTTCTGTATTCGCTGCCTAATTCTTCAGCCACTTCGTTGCTTTTCACCTAGTTCTAAGTCTTCGAGCTTGTGTGACATTAAACATATATCATCCACAGGCGAAATCCAAAACTTCTAGAGTCTTCTTGTTGATCAGTGCAGCATATTCCTGTTTCTTTCCTCACTGCCATCGCACAGTCTGCGGTATAATCCAGTTCATCACAAGGAGGAATACCAATGGTGATAGTAGACAACCGGCCTTGTCTTACTCTTGCATTCACTTCAGATGACCAACTGAGTTTTCTGTTGTGGATCACCTGGCACTTGGCTTGCATTTTCATATAGCTGGCTGTTGGATGAGGTTGATGAAGATTTGTGCGCTGCACACCATGGTGTTGAATTAGTTTCCAAATTACTTCTCGGTCAACGCTGTCTGCTGAATGCATTTTCGAAGTAAATGAAAGAAGTTGAGGTAGGGCTTTGACCACCATTCTATGCTTTGTTCATTGATGATGATGCGTAGAGTTGCAGTTTGATCAGCATATGATTTGCCTCTCCTGATTCCAGCTTGATCCGGGCTAGCGGAATTCTGTATCCAGTGCATCATTTATTCTCTCCAGGATGATGCAACTTAGTATTTGACTTGGCATGGACAGGTGCATTATTCCGCGACAGTTCTTGCAGAGACCTAGCTAGGTCACTCTTTTTCGGCAGCTTGAGGAGGTAACCAGGCTTTCTTACAATCAGTAGGCACCTTTCCTTCTTTACAAACCTTTTGCCATAATGACGTGAGAGCATCTGTCAAAGTCTCTAGGTCCATTGCCAGTACTTTGGGGGAATTCCATCTGGTTATGCTGCATGATCGCATTCAGGATTTCTGTTTTCGTTGTAGGAATGGTGTCTACTGGCAGGCAGTTCAGTGAGTGCTATTGGCGGCAGTGGTGGTGGTATTTCTTGACCAGTTGCAGGTGATGATGTTCGACTCAAGAGTCGTTTGAACTGATCAGCTGAATGTTTGATTTCCTCCTCCTCCTTGGTAATCAGGTTCACCTGAACAACTTTTATTGGTTTCATCGTCTGAGTTGATCTCTTCCTGGATAGCGAGCAGGCTGGTTTTCTGATATAATGTCTTGAGTTCTCTTTTGCCTACAGCCTGCCTGCCTGCATGTTCTGCTTCAGTTGACGGCCAGTGTGTCATAGAACTGTCTTTTTTCTCTCCTAGCACTCTTCTTCATGTCTTTATTCAGCTTCTCCTTTTGTTGCCCACCTCTGCATTGAGTCATCTTCTGTTTCACCATCCTCCTCTCCTCGCTTCTGTTAGCTTCCAGGTAGGTGTCCGTTGAGAGCCATATGTTGTCGTGTCTCTTCTTTATTCCTAGAACAGTTGTGCACGTTTCCCTGAACACCACCGTCAGGCAGTCAGTTAGTTCCAATGTTGTTCCATACAGGTTTTCTCAGTGATGCTACGTTGTGTCTCCGACTTTGCTCTCATCTGATCTGATCTGATGTGTAGTGAAGGCACCCCTTGTAGTTTTGTCCCTCATTTTCTGAATATGTGAATCCCTGAAGATCTATAGGATCTCTACGATAAATAGGTAATGCCTTTACGCGGAGGAGAACAACTTTCAGCCATGTTATAAAAGCCTACGACCATACCGTCGTGTAGGACTAAGCTACGCGACTTAAGTGTACCTAATTTGTTCAGGTAAGATCAAACTATTAATGCTTCCATAGAAAACACTATTTACTATGTAAGTGGTCGATTAGCGGCCGTAATATGTCCTATGCATTCTAAGTGATGAAGGTTTTACAATCCAATTATCATCCTAACGTAATGATAACTGTATACATTGCAACTAACTTCTTAGACACATATCTTCATTTGAATATGACCTTAATACCATCGTTTTCTGGCAGTCTTAAAATATTCATTACAAACAAAATTGTTGCAATGCAACTGAAGCCGAGCCAAAGACCAAAACCTTTCCGTTAAGAATAAGATTTATTTGAAGTCAAACAAGTAGTGTGCAGGAGTTGGGTTTTCTGAAGAAATATACTTATGGCGAAAATAAACACCAGAGTTCTACGGATAAAGATACCTACAGAAAACTATATCATTCATGGTCAATGCAAAATGCCTTTCCCAATAACTGGTGCATATCTCAAATTCAGAATTCCGTGAGGAGTACAAAGTGAAACACGCATAAACCTAGTGAAACAAGATGGAATCGAATGTAATGCTACAGAATGCACTACTGTAGGTTAATTGGTGTTTATTTGATTAACCGTCTGTTTAAATTAGCTAGGAGTCAGTAAATATCATTATCACCTCAAAAACTCGAGATTACCTTAGTACCCAGTTGAAATGCCAAAAAGAAGAAAACTGCCTTCGTCCTAATCCATGAGAATATGGCGGATTAAAATAAGTTTTCCCAATTCGTAATTTATAATCATCGTAAAATCTAGAAATATATGTGTATATGACCTAATGAAAAGCGTGCTTCAAGCAGTGGTACCAAAATGAGTCAACTTTTATTTCGAAATGAATACGTAAATATCACACATGTCGAAACAAGAAAAAGCTTTTCCAGTCCAAAACTTCAGATATTTAAGTGCTTTGCAATTTTACCCTACTGAGAAGACTAATGTTCGGATTTCATCATCCTGGCAGATGAACTTCAGTAGGAGAGCTATTGTAAACCAAAGGGCTTTCCTAGTTTATGACACCTGAGCAGAGTTAGTATTATCTGTTATGTGTATTACACAAGTAGCATGTTTTTACAAACAGAGGGATAAAAGTTTACTTTAAATCTGGGGCATTTGAAAAAGAAGCGTAGCGCAAATACGAGACACATCAGACAAACTTTTTAATCGTAAACCTAGCTACGTTTAATCGAAATTTTTGTAATTGAATCTAATTTTTAATAAGATTACAAGTTTCCAGACCGTAGGTGTTACAAACTTCCTGGAATAATTTGAGCGCCGAGTCAGAGTGATTCATTATAAATTATTCAAATTAATCCCAGCGTGTTTAAGAAAATCTTGTTTCGATTTTCTAGTCATGTCTAGTTCATTCTTAGTTAATGCAAAAATGAATCATTATTTAGTTCATAGACTGTTGAACTGTTCATTGGAAGTTAACTGTTAATTTCTAGAAATGATTTGCCTGAAATCAAAAGTCAGTTGATACACAAATTCCAGACTTTCCCTTATTCTGCTTAAAGTGAAAGGAACACTTATTCTCAAAGTTATTCGCCCATTATTAGCTTTCCACCTGGAAACGCGATGGTTACAATCACATGCAATTAGATAACTCTTGTAAATTACGTTACTATGGTAAACGAAAAGCCTGTGTCGTCATGTTTATGCATAAATAATTACAGGCGAAATATTAATATGCGTTATATGATAAATGTTGTTCTTTTCACCATTCTATTAAAGATGCGTTTCCAAATATATGACTGTCACATAAAGCGTCTTTGACAAGGTTGAACTCATTAATACTTGGTTGTTAAGACGTATGATTTGTGTTTGATTAGTGTAATACAAGTCACTGAAAGCTTTATTATTATACGAGTGAAAACCCTAAATATCAATTTTCTATTCGAAGAGAAATATCGAGTATGTGTAGCAGCTAAAGAGATAATATAATTAACTCAGATGCGTCACACGTCCGGAGTTAATGTTGGTTAAATTCCTCGTAGTGACGTTCTAAATAATTACGAAATAAGAATGTCATAATTTGCTTTTTAGTACTAGATGTTTAAGTGAAGCACTGTGAAACGTGCAGTTTTCATGTCACATCTTTCGATTCAACATCTTACAGAAAGTAAGTTAATAGTTGGTCCAATGAGGATACTTTGCGTATGAAACACCATCATCTGCGGCAAAATGGTGTATTAATTGAACTACTGTGGGAGTGAGGAAACTTACCGTTCATAAGACATGTATTTATCACTAGTCAGAAAGGCCACTACACTTTAGATTAAAGAATATAGAGATTGCAAACAACTAAAATGAAAGACTTAGGAAATTATACAATATATAACTTATCCTATCATGAAAAATGCATAAGAGTCACATCTGTCGACGGCTATAATTATACTTGTCGTCTCTTCAATTTTAAATCTTGCTTAAATGGTCCTCACTGAGAACGAATTATAAAACCAGCGGCACAAGCAAGGTGCATAGGACAAACTTAAAAATGTAGAGTCCTTGTAATGTATATGTAAAAATTAATTATTTACTGCATAACTTTTCGTGCTCAAAAATCACATAAACTGAATGACAATTAAATGAAATCATTCATAAAAAGTAAAGTTGTGATTCTAAAATCCTAAACACCCCATTTGGGGGGCAAAGTACTAATATACGATATATCTTGAAAATAGGCTTACCTGATGTATTTCTTGGAGGCCTGCTTCATCTGATATGCCTAGTGGTGAATGGTCGAACAGCAGTCGTTCGACACACAAAGATATTGAGTTATTGAGTACTGCATAGTAAAGTGGAGTTAAATCAGCTTTGTCCCGTGTGTTTGGTGACTGACCAAGATCAAGCAGCACCTAAAAATGGCACATTAAAAAATTATTTACCGAGCAGTTCCAGAAATCAAAGATTGTAGATTAATCTACATTCATTTAGCATAAAATGACTGTTTCGAGGTAAATGTTATGTCACAACCCCAATAATCATTCTTTATCCTTCCGCTGTTATTATAATGTTATTATTCCAGTAGGTTCCAAGTGGAACACACATCCCTTTTGTCTTCTTCCCGGTAGTTCTCTTTATCTGACTGCACTATTGTCAACAATCATTCTTCTTCTCATCGCACGATCTCCTCCATGTCACTTTCAGACGCCAAACGTGTCGTTCCTCATGGAGATTTCAGTCAAGTACCTGGACCGATGTAACTTAATGGTCACTTCAGCGTGTGTCTAACCCATCTCCATTTTTTTCTAAACATTTGTTGAGCAATAGGTTCCTGGTTTGTCCGTTCCTAGAGTTTCTTGTTGTCAGTTCTGATTATCAGTATGATGTGGAGGCAGTTGCTGACAAAAGTCTCCGACTTTTTGAAAATGCTTTTATTGAAGCGCCAATTTTCTGACCTACATGGAAGGACTGACATAACACTGGTGTGGAAAATCCGAATTTTTTGCAGAAGATTTTTAAATCGATTTCAGAGTGATGACAGCCTGATGACAGCGACTGCTGTTTTGATATCGCCATCCGCTCCATCTGTAATTGTACAGATGGTGCCTAGATCAGTGAAAGAAGTGACTTCTTTCCAATTTCTCCCGTCGACAGTGACTGGCACTTGTTTTTATTGTCGTTGGCTAATTATCTTCAGCACCTCTGTCTTCTCTGTGTTCACCTGAAGTCCTGTTTTTGCTGCTTTTTCTACCAACTTACTGCTTTTCGTCCGTATCCCACCACTGAAACCACCTAATTTCACATTAGGAAAGATAATAGTAAGAAGCTTCGTGAACATAACAAAAGACTTTAACCAATTTTTAATGCTCAGTTGACTGACCTTTTGTTTCCATTCCGATGGAATTCAGGATTTCCGCACAACAATAAATATCATTATTGTTGTCAGAAATTCACATAGCAAAAAGAAACACTACCTTATTGAGTGTGACCCAGAAACCTTTAACGAAAATATGACAAACTGAATTTTTGTGTTGAAGTATGAAATATCACCTATCAGACAAATATGTTTGGCTTATGAGATTGTTGAAGCAAAAGGCATGCTTTACATTCATGACAGAAAGGAACTTAAAAGGTCCATTTCATGGTTAAACATAATTTGTTTATTTTACCGCAGGTAAACACATTTATATTGGGACTGAGTTGATATTTCAGAGAATACTGAGAAAACTAAAAGTTTCTAATAAAGTATAATTATACTTCAATAGTTTACTCACAATGTGTGTAAACTACTGAAATATAATTATACTTTATTTGATCTAATCCACAATGCTCAAACTTTTTATTGATACTAAAAGTTTCTATTTCTACTGCGAGGGCTAGTTAAAACAATGACTTGTATCATTTGTAGCATGATACATAAGAAAGAATGTAATATGAAAAATAAATTGAGAAACACAGATATTTCACGCAATTAAGAAATTTAGATTTTATAATAATAATATTAAACAGACAGCAGATTTGGCATGTAAAGCAAGAAAATCGCAGAACCTAGGAGAATAAGGAGTTATAAAGATCATAATAAGACATTTGTACTTTAGGAGCTTTAAAAAAATTCAAAATTATAATTTTAAAATGTGCAACGTGATAATCTCATTCTAGAACCAATGAAAGTTGGAAATTTAAACATTATCTGCATGAAATAGACCCACATTATGACATAAAAATAGTTAAAGTAAAACAAAGTTGACTATCTGTAGGGAAGACGAATTTGTCACATTCAGAGCCGGATAATTACTAATATCTGAGAAACAACTAGTTGGTGAGATGAAATTTCAGGTGAGTAGAAGTGTAGGTCTATTGAATTTTCATACATGTATACATATAGCCCATAACAAGGGAGACATTAGTAGTCCTAAATGGCTTATCACATTTGGACAAACAATATGTCTGTTTTATTAATGATAAAATATCAACTATGTATCAGTTATAAGGCAATATATAAACAAATGAAAAATGAAAAATCAAGCTGTGATATGTATCAGATTAACCAGAATGTGAAGTATATCAGTGGAGTTGTTTTTTCGTAAATATCTGCGGTTGTCAGATAGCCTTGTATTATTTCAGGACTATCCCACAAAATATATGGTCAATAAAAACATTATTAATAGTTGATGTGCGATAGTAAAAATAAGGAATAAATTAATACCTCATAAATTATGCCTTTTTCTCTCACTTATTTAATCAGCATCACAGAGTGATGATGCATCAATAAATATTACATAAATTCACCTTACATATGGTAAAAATAGCTGAGCATCCATATGAATAAGGATGACTCACTATATCTGTTATCTGAGTAGACATCAGCTCTTTATCGAATTCATGTCATAGTTCTAAATGATACGTAAACGCAAGTAATGTGTAAGCATTATCGGTGAGCACTGAGGAGATCACGATTTCAACAAATCTATTTAAGTGACAAGATTTATGAAGCTTCATGTCTTAAATATGGAACCATAAATTTATTATGAAGCCTGATATGGATTGAGAGCCCAAACAATCAGTGAGGATATCAGCGGGAAATTGATCCACTAGTTGCTTTGCTGAACATTTTTAAAATAATTACTGCAAGATATACTAGAAAAGCTCATTAAAAAAATCAGGTTTGAAATTTTAACTGCTTATCGAGCACCAGTAAAAGCGGTCCTCTCATAAGGATTTATCACAACATTCACTTCAAAACAAAACGGACTACCGTAATAAAATATTAAAATTTATTTATGCTTACATATGGAAACTTTAAAACTAAAATGAACAAACTTTGTAATATGAAATAACACCTTAACACTTGCAGCATACTTAAAGCACGGGAGTATCAGAAGATTCAAAGAAAAAATCACTAATTCGTAAGTATTAGAATTTCCTTGTGGTTTGTTTCGAAAAGAACAAATGCCCTGATATTAGTTTATTTAATGAAGAGTAGAAAGGCTCTGAAACACATATGGCCTGCTTCAATCTCTGGACTAATAGATATTTTTACTCTTATTTTTCATCTAATTTTTTCTGTTTCACTCTTTCTAATTATCAAAGTATGTCTTTTCAAACCACTAAGTAATATTTCTCTGCATCGATTTAATAAAGTTTTTTGAAACCTGAAACTTATGAAAACAGTCATTCTGTAACAACCTGTTTAAGTGTAGCACTTTGAGATTTAGAACAGAAATAAGGCCAAAATGTAACCATTGTCACTTTGAATCAGACTGAATGTGAGCAACTACAGTGACAATCTGATATTTGCTAATAATGTGGAAAAGCAAACCATTGTATCATCCTGATTTAATATCCAAAATTGTGTTAAATTGATAACTTGCCACTCGTCAAGTAAGTGACAACAAACTTTTGCAGTTTTTAACCACCATAAAACTAAATGCAGGAAAAATAAGCCGGCTTCCACAGGTCAAAATGATTTTTTTTTCTTTATCGATAAAAATCAGAGGTCAGAAATGAAGAAAAACTAAGAAGATAGCTTTTTTAAACATCTTGGTAAAATTGTTATTTTTCTGAACCATCCTCACTTGTAAAACATGTCATTTTAAACAAATGTTTTGTTAGTATTATAATTAGAAAAAAACTACTTACTGATGTTCCATATTGTAAATATATGTATATATATAAATATATGTATGTATACTCTTCCAAGTAATGGAATGTACATTTTTCTATATTAAATACACAAGGTAAAGAAAACTCCAAGTTAAATAAAATGAAATTATCAGAAAATGTCTAGGAAGCCAAACATGATTTGTTAGTAGTCGTGTTTTCCTCCTACTGCTGGTGTGAGAAACAGTAATTTTGAGTGACAGTTGTTTTATCACCCTAGAAAACACTATAATTGCATAAATGTTACTATAGAACAGTTGAACCTAGAAAATTCATTATTGCATTCACAATTACATGGCAGTGACTAATTAGAATGCATGATGTTACATAATAGTAGGCTGCTCCAAGGCCATAAATAAATGACACCCTCAATAACTTCGTCAACTTATTCTCTGGTCTTGGAATAAATTCCTCCTGCATTTAGGTAGATATTTGGGTACAGGATATTAAATAATACATTTGTGTCCTTTGTACACTGATTATATTTAAACCAGGAGGCAAAGTTTCTGTGACATGCAGTCCTGCTTGTTGCACAATGATAAACAACTGTCACAAACTTAATTGAATCAAAACTAAACCATAATTGTGTGAAACTAGAGCCTTTAGAGTTTGATCTCACAAACTGGAAAAACAAGTAAACTAATTAGAACACAGGGGGGTGACAGCACTAGCAGCACTCACTGGCTTTCAGTGATTCTCTAAATGAAGCTATTTCATGATCAAACTTGAAGTCAATCAAATCGCTGCAACCTGATACTTGAAATAATCTAAGAGATTTCAATGACTACTGTGTAAAATATCTGGCCATCAGTATTAATTGATTATGTCGATCTTCATCTTTTTTTTTCCTTCACGTTCCCAGTGGAACATAGGGCTTCAAGCTAGTGGCTTGAAGTTTCTGTAGCAGTGTTTATTTTACAGGATGGGGTTGCTAGCCTCATGCCCAACCTTTCCTCTTCACCAGCATTATTTCTGGCTTAGTGAGGTAAAGGAGTGCGTTGGCCGGGGATCGAACCCCGGAACCTGTGCATTGTCGGCGAGCGTCTTAACCACTGTGCCATCATCTTCATCTAGAGACAAGTTAATATGTTGAAGAGTACTATGTTTTACAAAATTAGTAATCACGAAAAAACAGCATACCTAGCATGTACTAGTGAATATGAAAACAGCTTTTTAGCTAGCAGCGTTATTGGTTAAGTAAAACAGTTTCATGAGCATCGCTTCCGACATTTGAATATGTACTGCGATTTAA